GTTGCAAAATCTTTCAGTAACTGTGGAGAGAGCCCAGGGATATAAGAAGAGCACCAGGAAGGTTTTCTCCACTTTCATCAAAACATTTTGCTGTCAGGTTTAAAAGCTGTAGTGTTTGCAGCAGAAATGTTGCTTCTAGCCAAAGCTTACAGAAACTCGTCTTGAACTCCAGCATGCAGAGAGACCTGTGAAACTTCCAACTTCTACCCAAGAAAGAGGCAGTGAAATGACACATACCTACTCTCTCTGAACAGAAGAGTAGATACAATCAACAAAACACCACAAGCTTTTCTCTCCAAGGATATGCAGAGTGGGATCTCCTACACTGCCGTGTTCACCCAAGATTGGAACATGCAAGAAAACCAGAGCTCCTCAGCTGTCTTCACATCATTCCTGCTGATTCCTTGTCTGGCTCAGACTGCAGATACAGAAAGCACTGAGTGCTATTCATCCACACCACCCAGGTACAAGGAAAATAGTCCTGCTAGAACTGGCTTTTGTCTCCATTCACCTCCAAACACATCCCCAAGCTTTGCAGTTTCTTGGCCTCACTCAAACTGCCTCTGCCCTCAGCAGTTCCTCAGTCAGAAGAGCGCAAAGGAGGAAGAAAAAAGCCTAGACCCAGCCTTTGCCAAAGCACAATGAGAGAAAGATGTAGGAAAGCAAAGGTCACTGTTCTGGGCAAAATGCACTGATGCAGTAAGAGCCTTGCCTAGGAAAAGCACAACTGCAATGGCACGCTGCTGAGGGCACCAGGTGGCACTCAGATGCTGTGGTGCCAAGGACAAAGTGACCCAGCTCACAGCTCTGCCTGCCCTGAGAGTAAATGAAATCACCATGCACCTGAATGAGAGCTGCTCTCCTCAGCTCTCACAGGAGCATCCAGCACCAGGAACACATTTCACAGGTTGCATCTGGCAAAAAGTGCCTCACAAGGATTTTGGAAAGTCTATAGAGAAAGCACTCAGCCCTCAAAAAGACAAATATACAATGGAGTTGGCTAGGTGGTGGTTGCCCTTGTTAAACTTTGTGGAAAAACAAAACTTGTGCAAACCGAATTCCCTTGCTAACCTCTTCCCCTTGTTGAAATATTAAACAAAAATAACTTTGCTTTTTATCTCTGAGCCAGCGGGACAAATTCATCATTAATGGACCTTCTGCGAAGTCAACAGGGATCTATCTGAGATGAAGAAACGAATTTGACCTGTTGCGTCCTGTGTCCTTATGTTCTAGATAATAACCAAGTTGTACAGACTTAATCAAAGGAATCTTAAAACCTGGCCAAAATGGCTTGATTCTCTCCCCTCCCCTCCCCCCAGTGTTGCTATCTGTACTTTCATATTGCTTTCTTTTTAAGCAACTTTTGAAAATTGGTATTTTCAGCTTATTTAATCACTTTTGTTTTTTGAATCAGAAGACCTTCAAAATTAATTACTTCATAACATTTTCTTTAAAATGCTCTCAAAGCTTTCATCAAATGCTCACAAAAGCAGCATTGTGGGTGTTCTTAAGTACACGCATTGGTTAGCACGGCTCCAGCCAAATGATGCCTTATTTCACCCAGGGCTCTCCCTGGAAATCACAGGGGCTGAAGCACAGCAAGGGCAAAGGGCCCAGCTGAGCACACCCTCACAGCAAGGCAGGACACAAGGAATTCAGAATCTCTCCTGGAGGAGCACAAAGATGATGAAAGAGCAGCCAGCAAGACCACTGTTGGGTGGAAGATGTGTTCTGTGCTTGGCATACCAGCTGGCGAGGGCCTTGCCTGCACAAACACGTCACTGGGGTGAAGTAGGGTGTCAGGGTAAAGCAGAGGATAATAAAATCACTTTAGATTTATTCCTCTAAATTGGAAACTTCATGCTTACACCTGACTAAATCATCAGCCTGAAACTTTAGCTCGACTCCCACAGAAAAAGTATGAAACCTTATCCCATCTTTGTTTAACAAAGGCCAATCAAGCTTGTCTAATGAATTCTGCAGATGGAGGCAACAGGACATGTTTGGCCTATTTAATTCTGTGGGTTTCATCAAACCCACCTCACCATGCCCATCTTTAGGTGGCAGAGGAGCCCAGTGGGGACATGTCAGCCCTCACAGCTCTCCACAAGGCAGGCACAGGTTGCAGATTTCACAAACCCCATTGTCACTGAGGCAATGGTGTGGGCAGCCTGGGTAACAGCAACGCTCAGTGGGCAGATGGGACAGGGATCTGCCAGACTCTCTGCTTGCAAAGTGCAAAACGATGATTTTTTTGAAGGGGAAAAAAAAAGAAAAAGCCCAGCATAAGGAGCTGGTTAAAAAACAATAAATCAGTGGTGAAATGTGGATAACAACCTTCTCTGTAAAATCAACATGGATTGTGTTCCTGCAGAGAGCTGTCTGACAGGCTGGTTGAAGCCTGACTGCTTGCAGCCAGATTTTTTTTCCCCCCTTAAAAACAGGCTGGAGGAGTATCTTGGATCAGAGGGAGGCAAGGAGGTCTCTTCCTTTCATACACAGTTCTGCTGTGTTAGAAAATCAATAAGCAAGGTCCCGACCTCAGCATAACTTCAGGCATCATTCACAACTCCTCCAGAGCATGTTCTGCCCCTGCTTCCCTTCCAAAGGCACTCACCAGAGAGAGTAGAGGCAGGAAGGTGAAGTCCAACACCTTGCCCAAGCCCCAAAGCACGCCAGTCAGGTAAGAGTCCAACCCCAGGATGAGGGCAGCTGCAGGGAGTTGGGGTCAGCTGAGGTACAGCCCAGCCCCACAGGAAGCATGGGGGAGAGAAACCATATGGAGCACAGAAGTGCTATGGATTAATATGCAAATTCCCACTTTATTTTTTACACCAGAAGGGAGGTTATCAAAAATAAAGCATGTGTTCTTTCTCTCCCTTCTTGCTTTAATGCATTGTTTTCTGTTAAATCTCCTGTTTTTAAATTAAAAAAAAAAAAAAAGTCACTTTGCCACACGTTTTGCCTCTAGTAGACTCCTCAGGCTGGCTAAATTGGGTGATTAAAATATAGGAAGGCCTCCAGATTCCCCTCAGGACTGTTTTTAATATCTGTAAAACTGCCACTTTGTCTTGCCAAGGTAAACACCATCGCATGCAGTTCAAAGGTGAGCAAGCCTAAATGTTTCCCTTTGCCTGAAAGGAATCTGCCTGGGGACCTGCGGGCCGTGCCGGAGGGGGACGCGCCGAGCCCAGCCGCAGCGCGGTGGCCGGAGAGGCATCTGTGTACACAACGCTAACTTCTCCCACACAAATACTAAAAATTTCTCATTAAAAATTATTGCTGTGTCAACATGCAAGGCCACCAGCCCCCAATCTGGAAAAAGCGTTCTGTTTTTTTTCTTCCCCTTTGCTGGGAAAGCAGCGGAGGAGAAAGGGATGGGACGTGAGATCGGAGTCATCTGCTGCTGACTTTGGATCCCTGCGCTCTCTCTTGTCACTCAAGTTGAGATTTCCAACTGTTCCACTTCATCTATTTTCGTTCCTTGCTACCCAGATTTTCCCCCCCTCGCCTCCTTTGCTCCCTATCATGGAGCTTTATATGTACCTCACATGGCCCCGCCACTTGGCATTACTTTAAATGGAAATGCAATTTCAAGCCATCTTGTTGTCGTAGTGGCTGCAGCGCCTTTGGAGCAAAAAGATTTGCTGTTATCCAGACAAATCTACACAGATGCAGCTGTAAATCCGAACGTGCTCTACCCATCCATGATAGCTTCCACGGGTGGCCAGGAATTCATAGCAAAACAGCACGAGGACCAAGCATTTGATCAGAGCCAGCAAGACAAAGTTTCACATCCAAACTCCACCAAAGGCGACTCTGACCAGCCCCACAACATCGGGCACTTTGCTCTGACGCACCAAAAGAAAGTTTCAAAACACACTTTATCATCAGGCAGTGAGAAGGATGGAAAGATACCCCGGGGAATGAAAACATGGGATGGGGCGGAGAGGGCAGGGTGCCAGTAGTGTGCTGTGCAAGCAGCTGCCCTGCCTGGAGCATCCAGCCCAGGGGAGGGCTCGGCAGCAGCTCTCAGTGCCCCACTCTCCAGCACAATGCTGCGATGCATGCAGGTTTGTGCCGAGCCGACATGAAATACAGCAACATGCAATTAACCTGATGTAATGCTATATATCAATAAGTTAAAAAAACCAACAGCTTGCTTTGAGGTCAGGCACCCACACACACAACTCAAACAGTGGAGACCTAATCCAAATTTATTGGAGTTTGTAACAGCTGGACTTATGCCTCTAATACCTTTTAAGTGCCTCTTTTAACAGTGAACTGAGTGTGTCTTTCATTAAGGTGGAGTTGAAAGTATGTTAAGTTCATAAGCATGAAAATAGCCATTTAGTTCTCTTGGAGATTAATTCTGCCTTCAGTTTACTCTCATCGAACCCCATTAATGTCTGGGATTCTGTCTTTTGTGTCCCATTTGCATAAGCTCTGTTTATTGTAAGGCCTCTTGATAATATAGAAGCATTAAAATATTTCTTTCCCAAAATCTATAGGCATTAATCTTGGAATTCTCCTAATGTCCTCAATTTGCCATCAAATCCCACAACAGAAACAAATGTGCTTTCTAATCAGCAATCTTTTCTCACTTATAGGCCCCGATCCAACGAGCTTTTAAGCAAACAATTTACTTTAAGCAATGAGTAGTCATCCTGGAACCAATGGAACAGCTCGTGTGTTATGATGGATTGGGGCCACAGAAAATTGCCTTGATGAAAATGTCAATGCTCCCAAGAGCTGGTGAAAATATATTTTTATTATAAACACACAGAGGAACTGTTTTGATCTGAACATTATGGGGAACAAGCTTTGAACCAATGCTTTTTCACGGTCAGACCTAAACAGAAATTGAACACCGCCAGGCTTGGATGACAGTTTAAAAAGGCAGCCCAGAGCCAGATTGATGTTTGTATATAATGAAATTTAGTATTGATGTGATATGGACACTGTCCAGCCTCTAAAACTTGTTAAGGCAATGCATAGAATACGAGGAAAAGATAAAAATCAAAGGAGCATGGGGAAAGTAATTCTCAACACTAAGAGGAAATATTGTTTTGAAGAGCTATTTTGCTGCAAACATTCTGAAGATAAGCTGCAGCCAGATGTAAAATACAGAAGTGACTGTGATGTGCAAGCACCATGCACAACCATCTATCACATGCAAGCTTAAGTCAGCAAATCAAAGCCGAGCCATTAAACAGATGTGAGGCTCACAATTAGAGCCTTTACACAAACATCACTTTGCCCCTGTACCAGTAGATTCCCAGGGCAACAGGAACAGAGCTGAGGGCATCCCCACCTGCCCTGCCTGCAGGTGACTTTGGACAGCACTGTTCCAAAGCAGTCCTGCTCACCAAGACCTGATGGACAACACAGATGTGCTTCACTTTTCAAGTTGACATTTCACACGTGGATTTCAATGCCCACATCCAGGAAGGTGCTGAGCCAAAGTGAGGAACCTCATCGGAAATGAAAATATGCAAATCCTAGAAATACAAGGCAGATAGCATTTTGAGCCAGGTCGCTTGTACCTCCCCATAGATGCAGATCCCTGCTGTAAACTGGCCAAAAGTGGCTTAAGGTAACATGGACTCGTTGCTTTTTTTTTTGAGGATAGGGAACAGGGCAAGACAGGCTGTGGCTTGATCCAGCTAAAAGCACAGTAGTTGTGCACAAAGCAGCAGCAGTCCCTGCACCCACAGCACCCTGCATTAGCCAGTTCCTCCACACCAGAGATCTGTCTGGTTTTCCGCTCTCTGCAGGGAAAACACTCATTTTGCTAGGTGCCATCTGTGACTCTGCACTGAAGTGCTGCTGGGCCAGGGGAAAAAAGGCAGAGAGCCAGAGAGGAGCGGGCAGTGCATCAGCCACAGAGCCACGTCCCAGCTGCAAATCAATTGTGCCCACGGGTTGTCGGGCTGCAGAGGCCAAGGAGGGAGTTTGTTTTGCTTCGCTTTTCTTAGTAAACCACAAGCCTATTTCCTAGCATGTTATCCTGGGAATGACAGGCAGGGCCAGGGCTGCCGGGTGCCTGGGAAGAGGCTGCCAAGTCCTGAGGATCACCATTGCTAATTGGCTCTTCTGAAACGAGCGTGACAGAGCCACATTTTCTCACCCGCGGGTTTCAGGGTTATATTTAACCAGCCGAGGCAGAATTAAATGTCAGCAGGGCTGGAAGGGGAAAAAAAAAAAAAAGAAAAAAAAAACAAAAACAACAACAAACAACAACAAACAAAGTGAGAACTTGTCATTAAGCCGGGGGGGTTCAGTGCTAAGCACGCTGCAGCCGATGCCCATGATCAGGGCTGGCAGGCTTGGGCAACCCTGACAGTGTGAAGGGACGAAGGGATTCAGCCCTTTAAAAACCAAATACTTCAGCTGCAGACAATTTATTTTGAGTTTTAAGGAACACAGCACACTGGATAGGGAAGATACAGGTGCTGGGGACAATTACCCCTTACTGCTTTCTCTGCTGGATGAGACAGGGACAGAAACCTCCCCCAAAACTCCTGGGGTCACTACAAGACCCCAATCTCTTTGAGGATGCTTAAAAACCATTTGGATACAACAAAGGAGATTTTTGCTCTCTGCCAAGCCAGAATGCCAGACACTTGCAGAGGAGAGACAAGGCAGCAAGGTACAAAGACTGCACTGATTGCTCCTCACTTGCTTTGCAGAGGAGTAAAAAGAACTATCACCGTGCTGTCCTGTCTTTGCATTACAAGTTTTCATTACTCTCCTTCTCTCCACCAGAAAAATATCTAGTCCAGGTAGCCTTTTTTTCTTATTTGGCAACAGAAGGAGGAAATGTCAAATCTTAGAAAAGCAAAATTCCTCCAGGAAACCAAAAGCATTATTTCCAAATGTAAGACTTTGCTTTCCAGTTTGAAGCAAAGTATTCCAGAACTAGCTGCTTTCCCGAGTTTAAAATCTTGCTTTTTCAAGTCAAGATGGACATTGTAAATGGAATCATTTGTTTTGAGACAGTTTAACCCTCTTCAGAGACATATTATTTGGCACTACTGAGTCAGAACTCCTTACTCAGGGTGAGCCAGTTATTTTGGCTTTTTCATCTTAACTGCAGACCAAAAAATCCTGAAAACCCAACAAGACGTTGACACATCCAAATTTCCTTCAGGCTGGCAGGTCTGTCTTCAAACCATCCCTTCTTAGATGAAGTTGGAAATATTAAGCTTGAGCTCATACGTCTACAGATTTATTTTCTTTAGCTCCCATCTTTAAAATCTGGAGCCCATAAATAGGCTGGGTTTTTTCCTCCAGACTGCAACGCAGCCTTTCAAACCGAACATTTGTAATTGTCACAGCTGTAATAAGTACAACGTTGCTTCAAAGGGATTACATTGGACTGTGGTTTCCAGTATTGCCTCGTTGTCTGTTGTGAAATCTCCTCACCATAAATTAACTTTATTCTATTATCTTTCTGATACAATCTGCTTTCTGACAGATCGTTTGTATCTCAGCTCATTCCTGTTCCTTATTGACAGCTCAGAGCACTGCTGAAGAGATAGGAGTTATTAATGTTGACAAGGTTTGTAACAGAATATCTTTTATCCAGCAATGTATCCTTCGCAGTGTTTTGATTCCCCCTTCCCTGGCTACTTCAAGAAGCAAAACAAAAAAAAAAAAAAGTCAAATAAGCCATACAGCTAGACTTTCCTGGAACCCTTTTCAGCTCTTTCTGGAACATCTTTCTACATCCACTGAGGATGTTATGGTATAAGATGTTATTCATATTGGACAAAACTACTAAAACAATAACATACTGAAGGTTAAATACAGTGCAATCCTGTTGGAAATCCAAGCACTGAATCCAACAGTTCATATTTTTGCAAAGTGATGTAAGCCTCTAATGCCAACCAAGAGAAGCAGGGAAGAAAATGAGCAGCATGCCTTGAGCCAGCCTTCAGATGACACCTCCCCACTCACCACAGAATAGGAGAGGGGAAAAAAAACAGGTACAAAGAAATTCAGTCCATCAAGTCAGAGGTACTTGGCTGGGTTACTGATGATTACACACTTATCAGATTCCTACAGGCCTGACAGGGAGTTGAACAAGTCTTCTCCACCCCACTGCACCGCTATCCTCAAAAACCACCCTTCCACTCTACGTGATTAATTCTGACCTTACATGTCTATTAAGCATCTTCCTGAAAACATTGAAATTGCACAAGGAACACAAGAGAAGAATTAACCTGTCACACCTTTCCCTCTGCACCTTCTCTGCAGGAGCAAATATATTCCAGGTGCAACTTGAGGAGCAGTGACTGCAGATATACCAGGGACAAAGGATAAAACACCTCTAAATCAGTGTAATTCTCTATTCAGGTTCCCCTGCAGAAGTATTTTACAGCCACCTTGGGTTCACGCTGCACGAGATACCAGGATTTAGTGACAGATTTAAGGAAATCTGACTTCTAACGAATAGGAAAAGGCATGTGTAGGGAGCACAGCCCCCTTCAAACTCCCATGGTTTCCAATCTTTCATGGTGCTTTGCACTGAGGCTGCCAGAGGCAGCAGAGACATCAGATGTCCACAATTAGCTCAGATAGTCCCAGAATAAAGCAGGAACTACTCCTGCATCCAGACTAAAAGCCACATCTCCAGCTGAAGGATGATATTTTCCCATTGGTCCTGTACCAAGCAAACCATTGGGAATGCAGCATTCCTGACAGCACAACAGGAGATGACAGACAGTGTTTTCCCCAGATCTGCTTGTTTGCTTTGACCAGCTTCCACCTCCTTATCTTACTTCCCAAACCATCAGGCCCTATTTCTTGGTATCTTTAGCAGTAGGCTCTTAAAGCTCAGGCAACTTGCCTTCCAGTAAAGTCAATAGTACCTTTTCCCAATTATCTGGAGCTCTCAAGAGTCCTCTGCTATTACTGGAGTGGTTTTCATTAATGGCACTAGTTCCAGGCTGCAGGAGGATGGAGTTCAACACAGAAGTTGAACAGTTCTGGACAGACTGAATGAGAAACCCTGTAACACAGCTAGAAGTACCCACAGGGTAACGTATAACTTTACTGTCAAGCCCTGAAATAACATGACCAGCTAATGAAATAACAAAATAAACTTTGTTTTAATTAAAATTAAGAACATTTTATCTCTCTCATTTTAGTCTTAAACGGGGGCAGTTCAAAAGTCACGATGGAACAAATGGAAAAAAAAGTCATTTGCGAAGCAAAGGGCAACGCAACCAGGTAAGGACTGACCTGTGCCACAAACTGCTGGCACAATCTGTTTGAGAGCAGCCTGGAGCAGATGTAGGTGAAGTAAATCCCTAAAGAAACAAACCAAAAAAGTCATCCTCCTGACTCCACTCCCAGATTCAGACAGAGGGGAAGAGATGCTGCCATTCTAAGAGGTCTCTGCAGTCAAAGCCACAGGGCATGAGCTTCTCAAAGCCATCTGGACCTAAGAATGACAAGATATATCATTCACCTTGACCTTTAACTGACCAATCAGGAGAGGCAGCACACCACCACAGCCAGGCTGGATAGGGCAGTGCAGGAGTCTGCAGGACATCTGACCCTTACTGCACTAACCAACAGCAGCCTTTCCAACTGCACAAGCCACCACAGGCTCTGCTTTGTTGCTTGCGCATGGGGACAGTAGCTTTACTCTCCACAGGGGTCTTTACTCGTGACAAGTTGTCTTCACCCATCAGCAGCAGCCTGCTGCCTGGCACTGCTCCCAGTGTGCCAGCAGCAAACAATGCACCCTTGAAGCTGCCACCCATGAAGGCAAGCCCAGCCCCCTGATGTGCTCACACTGCCTTCTGCCAGCTCAGTGCTGTATGTGCCCAGCTCACAGAATCATTAAAGTTGGAAGAGGCCACCACGATCACCTAGTCTAACCATCAACTCATCCCCACCATGGCCATCAACCACATCCCTCATGCTATGAGGAAAGCAGGTAGGGTGAACCTGACCCCCTGCTCCTCATCTGATGCTCCACACCATCCAAACCCACTCAGTGCATGATTTCGCTGCTCCTTACTTAATAGTGTAAAAAGCCAAACACCATTTCACAGCAATCCTTACTATTCTTGTCTTTCCTGCTCTTTATCCTACACTGGATTGTTCCTTAACCATTCTCAGAAGCCTTGGAAGCACGCTACAAGAGAGACACTGTTGTGCTACTCGCTCCTACCATGGCTACTCAGCACAGCAATAAGCCTGACCTGAAACAACCTATTGGAACAAGGGCTGTTATAGAAGCACTATGCACACAAGAGAGAAGAGGGAGAGCTGGTACAAATATTTGTCAGCTTTCCTTTCATACATATACACACAGAAACGCTCTGGCAAAAGGTGTTGGTGCAAAAAATATTCCATGTTTGTGTTTTAATGAACAATGGAGGTATGCAGAGAGCTAGACCATATGATCAGTGTCCAGAAATTACCAAGGGAAACAAAGCCTCTTGGTTGAGATCCCAGTTTTCTCTCAGAAGGCCTCCAACAA